GTCTCGTCACAAACAAGGCGAGCGTCCTGAAACACCCGGATGTGACGTTCCAGGTCGGCCGGTACAGAGGACCCGGACCATTTGGTCTGGGTGACACGGTCTAAGGCGTCGGTGGCGTCATGACGAGCGCCGAAACGGTCCTGAAGGAAGGCCGCAAAGTCGGCCAGAGTGGGGACCTCACCCACGCGGAGGCGCTGGGTATAATGATCCTCCCACGCAGTGGAAGGGCTACCTCGCAATTTGGTTGCGAGCACATCGCACCACAACTCCTGACGGGTGGTCGTCATAGAGAGCGTGCGAGTTGCTATCTGCAACCAGCGAGAGACACGGGTTGTGCCATCATACTCGGGAATGTCCGTGGTGCGCACAGGAGGATGTCCACTGTGCTGATGCCGGGGGGAGAGAGATCGAGGCGAGTGCACTGCGGCAGCGTAAGTCGAGGTCGCTGCAAGGGCAGAGGTGGGGGAAGGTTGTGGGCCGTGGCCGCTAGCGGATGGACCAGCAGACGAGGAGGCAACGGCCGCGGGCAGCTGTCCCGGAATAGCCAGGTAGGAGGGAAGAGGCTGAGGAGCAGGTCGAGGGAAACGAGCCTCCATCATGGGGACCGAAGGGGTGGTAGAGGAAGAAGGGTGGGCAGCCTGTGATGGGTGAGGCTGTCTCAGAGCGAGAATCTCCGCCTGAGCCTGCGCAATGGTGGCTTGTAAAGTGGCCACGTGCTAGGTGCGCGGGGTCGGAGGTGGAGGGGGCGGAGCGGGTCTCCCAGTGGGAGGAGGAATCCCAGCCTGGGCGGTACCCTGCTGTGGGGGTGGGGGGACAAAGGCGGGAAGAAGAGGGCAAAGCCGTATTACCGCGACCGGTGCGGGAAGCTGGGAAGTAACACCGGTGTGGGTCGATGAAACTGCTGGGCCTCGAGGCGGTACCTGGACCGCAGCACCTACGACAGTAGTAGAGGCGGTAGGGGCGGCCGTGGCCGGGAGAACTGCCGCAACAGACGGGGTGGTCTGAGCGGCAGCAGCACTCGCCACTGCTGCGGGGGAGTGTTGGGCCTGTCCCGTAGAGGAGGGGGAACCACGATGGCTCCGACTCTGGAGTCGTGGGGAGCTGGACTCGAAGCCGGTAGGGGATGGGGTATGGGAGCGGTGGGGAGAGTGATGAGGAGAGCCCTTGAGTAGGGGATGGGGTATGGGAGCGGTGGGGAGAGTGATGAGGAGAGCCCTTGAGGCGGTTGACGTCAAGGGCAAGCGCATTGATTTGCGCTTGCAACGGTCCAAGCGTACTAAGTTGCGCCTGAATCGCTACGAGGGTGGCATGAAGATCCATCGTGTTTGCATGGGCCTGACCCTGACCCGCTGGCTGAACGCTCACCTGGGAGGTGGACGGCGTCGCAGTGATCTTCTCAAAGGAACTCCCTTCCATGGTCCGAAGGGAAAGGGAGGTAGAGCTCACGGGGGTGTGTGGGGAGAGGGGCCCGCCGATAAGAGGAAGGGGACCGCGGGAGCGGAGTGAGTATGTGTGAGTCGGCTCACCCCGGATTTGGCGGGTTGTGCGTGAGAAGAACGCGCCAAATCGCTCGAGGGGGGAAGAGCCGTTCGGGATCAGGGTGCCCGACGGGAGGAGGCGGGAGAGTAGGGGGTTTAGAAGAACCCTAAACCCTAGAAAAACCCTAAGAAAACCCTAACCGGAG